AAAAAAGTCAAGCTTCTTGAGCGTTGTTGGGGCTGCACTCATCCAGGCAAGTGGGGAGTATTTCATCACACTCCTGACTTGTGCCTTTGTAGATGGTGGACAGGCTTTGGGGAGTCACGGGGTGATTTACTTGCCACAGTATTCCTAGCCTACTTGATAATAATGTGATCGCACTATGCCTTATGAAAATACGCTCCAGTACGCTGTAGCATTGTTGTAACTCATAACTAAGTTTGTTTGAATAAAAGAACTTTAGTGCATTATTTTCGCTGTATTGTATATGTACATATTCAGCATTGAAAAAATGGGACACGCAACAACTCAGTTAAACACACTGCAGAGATTGGTTCCAACACTGATTTTCTTTCTGTCGCTCCCACGCTGTCCTTGTCACACAAGCTGGTGCCTCATGGATGCTTCAGGCTGGGAGGCTGCAGGGAGCTTCCCTCACAAAATGGGAAATGTTAGTCTGAATGCCGGAGAAACTCAGCAAGTCAGGCAGAATCTGTAGAGAGAGAAACAAAAGCAGAAATCGCTGAAGAAACTCAGTAGGTCTGGCTGAATCTGTACAGAGAGAAACAGAAGCAGAAATTGCTGGAGAAACTTGGCAGGTCTACCAGCATCTGTACAAAGAGAAACAGAGTTAACATTTTCAGTTCAATATGATTCTTCTTCAGGAGCTTTGGAAACATGCCTGCTTTCAGGACTGGGCAGCGATGTCTTTTTGCTGCTATTCATTTTTCAGTACTGTTGGAGACTGACAGAATACAGATTGCTTTAAAAAGAGGTAATTCCAAAAATACTACATGATATTCAAAATAAACTAAAGTACGGAAAACTAGTTTAGTTTAGTTCAGTTATTGCACACTTACTGGTGAGTCAGAAGTTTGGGAGTTCAGTCTTTAGTACAGATTTGAGCACATAATTTTGGCCGCAGTTTCATTGCAATACTGAGCAACACTTCAGCTGAGTCAACACACATGAAACACAAGATCTGCCTGGTGTGTTTGAGTGAATACTAACTAAATATCAGTGGAGTTCACCTCCTGATTTTCTTTAACATTTAATGAATATTGTTTTTAGATTCTGATTAGTTCTTTTATACTTAAAAAATATGTAGTCATGCATTGCAGAAATTTGATACAATGCTGATACCAGTACACATTTAACTGGATAGGTTAAAAATTCTCGATGCAAAGTATTCCTGAATAAGTATATATCCAGACTGTATTGGAGGGAATCAGTATCTTTGCTGCAGAGTCACAGGACAGTTCCTCAGATGGTGAGACATTAGCCTAGTAATTATGCACTTGTGTAATAAGTATGTGGCTATGGTATTAGTTATTTACTGAAACAAATACCAGTTAAAAACCTATACTGACATTTTGTCCTACTGAGCATACACTCGGCTGTGTGTGTTGTTGGCTAGGCCAGCATTTATTGCCTATCCCCAATTGCCCAGAGGGCAATTAAGAGTCAATCACATTGCCGTGGGTCTGGAGTCACATATGGTGACACTGGGTAAAAATAGCAGATTTCCTTCCCTAAAGGACATTCATGAACTAATTCTTTTCCTGACAGTGGTTACACGGTTGCCATTAAGCTAGCTTTTTATTGAATTATAATTTCACTATGTCTCATGGTGGAATTAAAACTCATACCTCCAGAACATCAGCCGGGGCTTCTAGATTTCTAGTTCAGTGATCTTCCCACTATGGCTCCACCTCCTACACAAGAACCAGGAACTGTAGTAACTCATTTAGCTGTTGAGCTTCTCCACTGTTTGATGAGATAATGGCTCAAATCTCTTTTATTGGCTTTTCCCCATAACCTTGGATTGTCTTTCTGATCAAAACTCTATCTAGCTCAGCCTTGAACACATTCAATAATGCTACCTCCACTGTCCTCTGGGGAAAGTAATTCACAACAATGTTTTCTATTGGACAGAATGTATGATGACAATTGACAGTGCGCAAACAATGCTGAAAAAGTGGAAGAAATGATAATGGTGATTTAGTACAATAACTTTTGATTTTCCATATGCAATTAAACATGAACATTATCAGAAAAATATTCAGATCCACCTTAAATCATTGTCAGTCAATTTTGTGGGAGAATGATAAGGGAGTTTTCTGCTCCTTCATAAAATTACACAAAATTAGTTTGATGGTCCACCACAATAATAAGAAAGGCATAATGGTACTGAAAAAGTGAATGTTAAAGATTCAGATATCTTCTTGCAAGGGAGATGTATGCTTCAAGACAATGGCATACAACACAGGTTTTATTACAGAAACAAAGGTGCTACACTATTGCTACAGATAACAAGTTTCCAAGTGACTCTTACTACAGATAATCATTTCCAACCAAAGGGTCACACACACATTCCTATGTCTACTTAATCTTGAGTGTACAATTGGCATTCCAAGTTAGGACATGCAACTATATTATTGTATACATGATTACACTGTCCAATTATGTCATTATGTGTCCATATCTAAAACTGTTTACATGTACTTCCTACAGGAAACCTAAACTGCTTGTTTCTCACCTCCTCACCCCCATTAGGGACTGACTGAACAAAGGCTCAGTTATCCAGAAAGATTTTAGTGATGTCTATTCTCAACATTTTGTGTGCATTTATAATATGTTGACTGAGGGAAGCAGTACAAAAAACTGATTTAAAAAAAAATTCTAGTTTTCTCAAGCAAAGGATTAAGCATATTTTAATGAATTTAGCATAGCATTCAGATTAAGACTAAGATTAGAGTCATAGAGCCATACAGCATGGAAACAGACCCTTCGGTCTGACCAGTCCATGACAACCATGTTTTCAAACTAAACTAGTCCCACCTGCCTGCATTTGGCTCATATCCCTCCAACATTTCCTGTTCATGTACTTATCTAAATGTCGTTTAAATGTTGTAACTGTCCAACTTCCTCCAGGAGTTCATTCCACACACAAGTCACAGTGTAAAAAAGTTGCTCTTTATATCTTTTTTGAATCTTTCTCCTTTGACTTAAAAATATGCCCCCTAGTCTTGAAATCTTCCACTCTTAGGGAAAAGACACCTGCCATTCACCTTGTCTATGCTCCTCATGATTTTACAAACCTCTATAATGCCATCCCCCAAACTCCTACGCTCCAGTGAAACAATCCCAGCATTTCCAGCCTCTCCTCAAACCTCAAACCATCCATTTTCAGCAACATCCTGGTAAATTTCTTCTGAACCCTCTTCAGTTTAATAATATCCTCCCTATACCAGGTCTTGTGTAATTTGGTCTATTAAATTGTCCACAGATGACGAAACAACAATGTGGTCTAATCATGCTTTCCTATGTTAAACCGGGACTCAAACACATAATCCAGTGGAATCATGGTCTAGTAACAGTATGGTGCTTCTGTTTTGCACAGGCATTGAGTTATAAAGGATGTGGATCCCAAATTTCAAGCCTGAAATCTCTCTCACAAAGGGATTCCCATCACCTCTTCTTCAGAGTCAGTTCAATATTTCACAGGCAATTTAAGATCTACAGGTTGAAATAAGAAGAAAGTAGAGCATTTTGCACGTTTTCTAAACTTGTGGTGTGAATACAGCTTTGGACTCTCCTCATCCATTTATAAATAGATAGAATAAACTTCCTGCAATAATTAAGCAATTTTTGTAATTTAACGCACAATGATTCAGTATGCAAAATTGAGCTGTTAAGCACACTACAATTTATCATCACAGATCTATTATTGGATGAATTTAGAAATTGTATTTTACTCAGCTCCATCAATATAAACTATAACTCTCAACAGCAGGAATCTGAAACAGCAACATCCATCTCTAACACTGCTGTCAGATTCAGGAATTCTGAAGGCTAAAAATGTTATTGTGGAATCTGCATTAAAAATGTATTTTTAATT